TGGTCTGGACAGCCCCCTTGAGCCTACTGGGCAGGCCTCAGACAGACATGCGGAGTGTGCTTCCTCCAGGCCCACTGCTCCTCTGGCCACGTGGCCTTGTGTGGCAGATGGCTGGGCTACTGGCCACGTCCTTGGAAGAGGATGGGGGCCTGGGTCCCTGCAGGGGCCAGGGCTCTGTCCAGAGACGGGGGGGCAGCCAGCATAGCCTCAGGACCCTCTGGGCTGGCGGACGCCCCACTGTGGCTGGGATGCTGGTTTCCAGGGCTGACAAGTCCGCCCACTTACGACCTGCGTGGTTCACTGTGCTGTTTCCTGACAGCAGTGGTCTCATGTCCACACCCCCTTCTGTCCTCCGCTCCCTCACCCCTGACCCTAGCAGTTCTCCAAGGGCCCCCAGGGCCCAGAGATGAGGAGACCAGCCCCACCCAGTGACCAAGGCCCACCCTGAGGCCAGTGTCCAAGGCAGGGAGGGCAGAACAGCCCCTGCCAGGGGTCACCTGCCCATGGTGCCATGCCGGGTCCTGTGGGGTGAGCAGGAGTTTGCCGGAGGGCGGGGAGGAATCCAGGAGGAGGCTGTGACCCCGCAGGACTGCGCGGGAGCGGCTAGGAGGCGGCTAGCCGTGGTTGGGCAGGGCCACAGCTCACACTCACTCCCGTACCCCCGCAGGGGCCTCCTGACTTCCACCTGCACCAGAGAGCCCCCTCCACACAGAGGCCCAGCCACCTGCCCACCACCAGCTGGGACCCAGCAGCTGCACAGGTTCCACAGAGCCAGGCCTGCGCCACCAGGTGGACAAGTCCGCCCACCCCCAGCAGCACCAGAGCTGCCTGGAACCCACCCTGACCGACCCACAAGGAGCCACACACTCCCTGGGGCTCAGGCACGCTGTGGTTCCCCATGTGGGGGCTTTTGTTCACAAACGAATCATTGCGTTTGCCACCATTTCCACGCCACACACCAGCCTGGAGGCCGAAGTCCTCAAAGAGAGGCCCGGGAGCTGGAGGCAGAGCCTCTGCCACCCTCGGGGGACGCTGCACTGTCCACCGTGGCGGGCCGGCCATGCCATCTGCCAGCTCTCAGCTCCCAGGGGAGGGAAGCCAAGGGCTGGCCCTGCTGCACCCCCTCCAGGCTGTCACATGCCCACCTGGGGGGCTCCCCCAGGGGTCGGTGCAGGCGGCGGGGGGAGGCTAAGGGGCCTCCCACATTCCATTCACCCCTCCCCGTGCCAGGCCAGCATCTGGGGACCTCACCCTGTGCCACCCCACGTGGTGCAGATGGGAAATGAGGCCCTGGGAGAGCAGGACTGGCCCAGGGTCCCACAGTGGCAGGCAGGGCTCCAGTCCCCCAGGCGGGCCCCGACCACACTGTGCACAGAGGACCTGGGCTTCCGGGCGGGCGTGTGGGGTTGGGGGGAAGAAGAGGAGGGGGACAGCCTTTCCAGGTAGCACCTTCGAGGTAGCATGGCGGCCTCCACCCCCGACCGGCAGGAGGAGCAGGCCCCGTCCTCTCCCCGCCACTCCTGGGACTCCACTTCCATTAAGGGAAGAGCTTTGCTGGCAGAGGCTGAGCTGACAAGGCAGCAGGAGGCCCCAAGGCGGGGGTCCCGGGGCAGCAGAGACCCCACGCCTCACTGCGGCTCACGTGTGTCTGTCGGCATGTGCCTTGGCTCAGGACACCCGGCTGAGGTTCCTGGGCCCTGCGCCCAGCCTCCCTCCGGTATGGGGCTCCCGGGAGACACCCTGGCCCCACCACAAGAACCTTGCTTCCCAACCCCCACCTGCTTCCCACCCCCGCCTTGTGCAGGGTGAGGAGGGCTCAGCAACCATGCCGCAGCGGAGCTGCCGTCACTGGGTGGGGGCCTCGATTTCCTGAAAGCAGGCCGGTGTGTCCCCAGATGTCCGTGGGGCTAGGAGTTGGCACCGCTGCTCTGAAGGCCCCACCGGGTCCCCCACCACCAGGCCACGACACATCCCACCTCCCCGCACCCTGGCCGCCCCAGGAACCCTCTGCACTCCACCCAAGGCTGAAGGCTCTGGACACAGCCCCTCTGACAGCCCCCCTCCCAGACCCCAGCCAGGATGCCTGCCCAGGAAGCCTGACCCGACGCTGCACAGAAATAGCCAATCAGCCTTCAGTCTTCTGGAGCGAGCCCCTCCCCTCCCCTCCCAGGTAGGACCCAAGGCCGTCCCGGCCCAGTCAGTGGCTGTGGTCTCAGCCAGGGCCCCAGCCTGGCCGTGGGTGTGCAGGGGGCTCAGGCCTGGGCCCAAAGAGACCTGGCAGCCAGGGGTACTGTGAGGGCCTTGGAGGATCTGCATTTGGAAGGGGGAGCTTCAAGGAGAGCACAGAGGCAAAGGCAGGAGAGAGGGGTGCCGGGCTGGGGCTGAGGGCCCAGGAGAGCAAAGGTGGGGGCAGCCAGGAGAGATGGGGGCAGAGGGAAGCTGCAGAGCCATCACTGCACCCAGACCACTGTGCAGGTGCCAGGCACGCCCAGCCCCCAGTGCCAGAGGACTTCTCACCCCAGCCGCACCCAGGACAGGCCCAGCCCCCACCACACACACCTTTCCTCACCCACCCCGGCTCCCACCACTGCCCACGGCTCTGGCCACTGACTGCCCACTGAGGCTTCCCCATGCCCTCCCCATAGGCCCAGCACAACTCGGGCAGTGAGGGGTCAGGACAGACACACGCAGGGATCTTGAGATTCCACCAAGGGGAATGCCCCTCCCACCACCTTAACCCTGGGCTGCACTCCTGGGGAGAGGTTCTGCCCCCGGTCTCCCACTAAGTAGGAAATGGAGTGGGCAGCAAAAGCCCCTCCAACAGGGGCTGGCACCCCCAAAAGGAAAAGGGTCCTGGGGAGGGGCGAGCTAGGCCTGACTCCCAAAACAGCCCCACACCAGGAGGAGGGGCTTAGCCCACAGTGGCTCCGGACACAGCAGGCGTGGACGTCAGCCCAGCACAGAGTCTCCCGGCAAAACCCCCACCCATTCTTATTTACCCTGCCCCACCTCCACCCTCAGACCCCCACTGGACACCAGCTGGGTTGGGTGGGGCCAAGGCTGGTGTATGAGGCCAGCAGGGCTCCCGTCTGCTAGACTGGGGGGCAGCTGATGACTGAGTAATAGAAGACAACTGGGCTGCATGCACGCCTGTAATCCCAGCACTTTGGGAGGCCGAGGCGGGCAGATCACCAGGTCAGGAGATCAGGATCAGCCTGACCAACGTGGTGAAACCCCATTTCTACTAAAAATACAAAAATTAGCCGGGCATGGTGGTGGGCATCGGTAATCTCAGCTACTCAGGAGGCTGAGCCAGGAGAATCGCTTGAACCCGGGAGGCAGAAGGTTGTGGTGAGCCGAGATCAGGCCACGGCACTCCAGCCTCAGCAACAGGCAAGACTTCGTCTCAAAAAATAAACGAGAGAGAGAGAATCGGATTTTCCAGCCCACAACAGGGTCCCAGGGGGGTTCCTGGTGCGTTCTTTCCCAGGTTGAGGGCGGCGGAGTGTGTCTGCCATGCAGTAGGAAGGGAGGCTTCTTTGGGGTTCACAGAGACTCCCCTGGAGGACCTCCCTCCTTCTCCCTGAAGGCAGGTGTCCAGGCCACCAAGGAGGAAAGGAGGGTGGAGAGAGGAGAAGGTTTCGCCTCCCAGGACCTGCCCGCCAGGCCCCACACCCACTGCGCCTCAGTCATTCTGGCCCATCCCCCATCACAGAGTCACGCTAGTCACTCAGTCACCCCCCACATCCACCCCGCACACCCACCAGCACCAGCCCACACCCCCACCTCCAAGGCGCCCCCCCAGGGCCTGGGCTTACCCCTGAGGAGCCTCTAGCAGAAGACAAACCCTAGTGGCGACCCCTTCTGGAGGTGGACGTCCGGGGCAGTAGCCTCCTTGGGTGACACCCAGCAGGCAGCCCAGGCTGCCTGTTCCTGCCAGGGACCCGCCTCCCCTGGTCTCACCCCACGCTGGGCAGGGAAGGAGCCGGGGCTGAGGGCAGAGGTGGGAAGGCCCACCCAGGCTTCTGGGCACTACCAGCTGGACCTCATGCAGACCGACAGCCTCCTTTTGAGGCCCAGAGCCCAGGCAGGCGCTAAGGCCACACCCCCTGGCTCCCAGCTGCAGGAGCAGGTTCAGGAATCCAGGACAGGGCACAGAGCGACCTTGGCATCACTTCACTACGCCTCCCCCAGCCCAGCCAGTGAAGCCCCAGGCCCGGCGTAGGTCATCCCTGGCCACCCTGAACTCCTGCCACCTTCCCACAGGGGCCAGGGGCAGGACAGGGTCGCGGCTTGCTCCAAGGGCCGGGCCCCACCTCCTGACACGACATGGGCTGGGTGGGGTGGAACTCCGTCCTTCCTCGCCTCAGCTCCGCTCCGCCCCGCCCAGCACACAGGGCCCACCCTGGACACCTCTGCAGGTCTGAGCAAGCCTGACCCACCTCGGCAAAACTTCGGGAAGCCTCTGGCGCGGGAAAGCCAGTGTCTCCCGCGGGCGCTCATCGCCCAGGGCCCAGCTCAGTGTCCAGGACTCCCCCCCTCCGTCGGCAGCAGCCGGCTCAAGCCCTCGGAAGTGAGTCCTGGGCCCGGAGGGGCGGGGCTGAGGTCAGGATCTCGGATCTCGGCTGCACCGAGGAGGGGGCGGGCCCAGGGGAGGCCCCGCGGCCACACACACCGCTGGCCACGACCTGGACTCGAACCCCGACTGGGAGAGGCGCAGTGCCCGGGTCTGCCCCGTCCGGCGCGCACGTGCGCAACACGTCCCGTCTCATCCAAAGGTGAGAGGGGGACGGGGCGTGGGGCAGCTGATCGGCTGGGAGCGCAGGGGGCGGACCCCGTGATGGCGAAAACCTTCCCACGCAGTCCAGACCCCCGGCCGGAGCACCGGGCTCGGGTGCTCCTGGGAGCCCCCCAACCGCACCCGGTGCCCAGCCCCTGCGACCCGCCGCAGCGGAGCCCCCGCGTCCTTCCCGGGCCCCCAGCGCGGCCCCCGGACTCACCCAGAAGAGCAGGTTGAAGGCGAACATGAGGTACTTGACGGCCTGGAGGCAGGCGCGCGCCATGCCGCAGCGCTTCAGCTCTAGGAGGAAGATGAAGGAGAGGTCCAGGTAGAAGACCACGTACTTGCTGCCCTTGGGCGACGTGTAGCGCGCCTGGGCGGCTTTGGGGCCGGGGTTCGCGCGCAGGCCGAAGAAGGCGCCGCCGCGCCCGGCGTCCCCGGCGTCCCCGCCGCCCGCGCGCCCGCACAGGCCGCTGCAGCGCCGGAAGGGGCCTCGGCGCGCGAAGCCCGGCTCCCTGCCCTGCGGCGAGGGGCTGCGCCGGTACGCGGACTCGTCCGTGCTGGAGCGGCGCATCGCGCCCGGGTGCCGGGGCCGCCGCTCAGCGCCCCGCGCCCGCCGCCCTGGAACGCCCCATCCCGCCCGCTCCGGCCCCGCTCCGGCCGCCGCGGACCCGGCGGCGGGACCCAGACACCGGCCCGGCCCGCGCCCCCGACCCCGCGCGCCCCGCGCCCTCCCGGCCAATCCCCGGCGGCTCCGCCCCCGCGCGGACCCCTCCCCTGCCCGCCGCGCCGCCCCGCAAAGCCCAGCGCTCCGCCCGCGCCGACCAATCACCGCAGCCCCCGGCACCGCACCCGCCGCGACCCCGGCCCCTCCGCCCGCCGGCGCCCCGGCCCTCCCCACCTGGCGCGCGGCACGAGGATGCTCGCGAAGGGCGTCCGAGGGGCCCGGGGCCCGGGAGTGAGACCTGGTAGCTCTCGGCCCGCGCCCGACGCCCCCCGCTTCCCCACATGGGACCTCGCCCGGCCCCCGGCCCCCGGCCCCCGGCCCCCGGCCCCCGGCCCCGGGCCGGGCTTGGAGACTTCCACAACGCAGACGATATTCAAAGCACTACGCAAATGGAGGGTGACCCCGTGCTGACTGGTGGCAACTTGGGGAGCCTTGGGTGCCAGGGGGGCTGGGTCAGGCTGCACAGCATGGAGGGGGTGTCGGCGAGGCTTTGACTATAGCCGAGGTCCCAGAACGCAGAGAGCGCAGGGGTCATTACTAAGACTCCTAAGGCAGACCCAGGGCGCTGGAGGTGAGCCCGCCTGGGCCTCTGCCTCGTGCTGTCCCCAAGGCGGGAGCGGGACCGGCTTCAAGGGCAGTCACGTGCACCCACCCCAGCTGGCCCGATACTCTGCTGTTCCCCGTCTTGAATTCTTGGTAATTTGTGGCCGGGCGCGGTGGCTCAGGCCTGTAATCCCAGCACTTTGGGAGGCCGAGGCGGGTGGATCACGAGGTCAAGAGATCGAGACCATCCTGGTCAACATGATGAAACTCCGTCTCTACTAAAAATACAAAAATCAGCTGGGCATGGTGGCGCGTGCCTGTAATCCCAGCTACTCAGGAGGCTGGGGCAGGAGAATTGCCTGAACCCAGGAGGCGGAGGTTGCGGTGAGCCGAGATCGCGCCATTGCACTCCAGCCTGGGAACAAGAGTGAAACTCCGTCTCAAAAAAAAAAAAAAAGAAAAGAAAATTCTTGGCAATTTTTAAACAAGGGGCCCAGAATTTCATTTTGCTCCAGCCCAGGCTGGAAGTCGGCCTGCAGGAGACCCTACTCAGCCCCTGGCAGGCAGACAGGCCCGTGGAAGACGCAGCTGACTCCTGGGTCATCACGCTGCATGCCCACATGCCTCCCACAGCCGTGCCGCCAGCCTACCCATCTCCAAAGCCCAGCCCCAGCACAGGGCACGAGGCCCCTGTGGTGTTAGGGAGACACCAGCAGATGGCCCAGATTCCCGGCAGTTTACCTGAAGCCCAGAGATCAGGAATGAGGACGGTCAGGGAGGAAAAGGAGGGAGGGGCCGCTAAGGGAGGGGAAGAGGGTGCTCCCTGGCAGGGCCGACCAGCTCTGGAGGCCTGGGTCCTCCTGGAGTGACTGGGGTGGGAGGTGGTAGGTCTGGGGAGGGCTGCTGTGGGAGCCCTGGGTGCCCAGGGAGGTCCCGCACCTCTGCCCACCTCTGAGGACCTGGGCTGGGTGCCCCAGGCCTCTGCTGCCCCCCCGAGGGCTCTGTGGAGAACTGCGGCCCAAGCCCGGGGGAAGCGGACAGAGGGCCCCAGAGAATGGGAGGCCAGCCTGGAGGTCCCCTGAAGGCCCACACAGCCAGCCTGGGGCTTCCCATGGCCCCTCCCCTGCCCCTCCCCTGAGGGTTCTTTGGTGAGTCTGGGCCCAAGGAACAGGTCAGAATGGCGGCCACACATCAGGGGCTCAGCAGAGACCCCAGGAACCCTGGCCCTAATGGGAATCTCACCCACGGCTCTGCCCAGAGAGCAGGTGGCACCTGGCCCCCTTCCCCCAGCCATGTAGGCCCAACCTGAGGGCAGACACTCAGCCATGGGCAGCGTCTCCAGTGACGTCGCATGGACTGGGCAGGGCTCAGAGCACCCATCTGTGGGCCAGGCGAGGGGAGGAGCCACGGGGACCCCAGAGGACCCCAGGCTGACTAGAAGCCAGACCCTACGTGGAGTCAAAAACACCACCCAAGCCCCCTCCCCACACACCAACCCCACCCCAGGAGAGCGTCTGCCCCCCATCTCTCCCGCACCCCTCAGTGGCTGAGGCTGGAAGGGGAAGTGACAGGCAAAGCTTGCGGGTCCCAGGCAGGTGGGAGGGCGAAGGGAGGGCTGGTCTGGGTACCAGAACTGAGCCCGGCGCCCAGGATGCAGTCCCAGTGCCCCCCAAGACTCCTTCCACCCCGTCCCATCGACAAAGCCCTGTACGTGTTCCCATGTGAGCAAATAAGGCCTATCCAAGAAGAAATGGAAAACTCAATCAAGCCCACCAAGGGCCAGTATGAGCCAGGCTGGGCTTACTTCTGATGCTAAGTTCAGGATTCATACTGGGTTGGCCAGAGGCAGGCAGGGGCCTGGGCGAGGCCATGGTGTCAGAGCTCGGTCAGGGAGGGTCCTTCCTCGACACCCCAGCGGGGCCCTATCTCCAAAGTCCAGCCCCTCCCCACAGGAGCTCCGAATGGAGAAGCTGAGGTCTGGGGTCAGAGTGTCCAGCTAGCAAGGCCCCTGGGCTGGGCAGGAGACCCAGCGGTGGGCCAGTGCTGCCCACCACACATCATCCAGCCCAGCCGGGCCATGACGTACCTGGGCTGGCCACAGGAAGGAGGCCAGGCGGTGCTCAGGGTCCCGGAAGGCTGACCAGCGGGCAGGCGGGCGGTGGGTACGGCCAAGGTAGCCCCAAGCTCTGCAGAAGAAGAGATAGCCAGAGTGGAGCCCTGGTTTCCACCCTCAGCTGCACAGCCCGAGATGCTCCCAGAGGAGAGCAGGGAACACCTCCCGGGCCCTGTCACCACAGGGCAGAGGGGCAGTCGGGGTGGCCAGGGAGGGAGTGCACCCGACTCGGGTGCAAGACCACCATGGAGCACCCCAACCAGGAGAGCCTTGAAACAGCAACTGAGTTGCCAAAATCTGTCGCTCAGGCCGCAGAGACAGCCAGGCAGGGCCACAGGCTCCCACTCGTGGAGACACAGTGTGCAGAGAATACACATGTTCAGAGATGTGTGCTCACAGCACAGGGACACGCAGAGACACAGGTCCAGACCCTCGCCTGCACACGCACAGACATGCAGCAGTGCCCCCTCCCCGGGATCCTGGAGCCTGGACCAGCCTGCTGACTGCTTCCCGCCAGGCTGGGGCACCCCCACCCCACCCTGCCTTCAGCTCTGAGCTGACACGCAAGCTCAGGAAGGGGCCTCACGCCCTTCCCACGGAGTTGCCAGCGATGACCCTGCAGGCCCTCCTCCACCGTGGGTGCCAGGTCCGGCAGTCTGTCCTCCTGGCACTCAGGGACTTCTGGCCCCAAACTCACCTGGGCAGCAAATTGCAGTGCCCACTACTCCCTGCCCTGCTGGCTCAGCTCGCAACCTCACCCCTCGAACCCAGCTCTCTGGCGTGAGATAACTGGCCTGCAGGTAGCCCAGGGCAGGAGGGAACCACAGAGGCTTCCACCCCACCCTGGCTGAGCCAGGCCCCAAGACAGACACCGGAGCTCTGCAGGCTGGAAGAGCCTGGGGGACTGAGCTGCAAGGGGGCCTCGGACACCCACCAGGCCAGACGGAGGTCCCACTCAAGGAGGGGCCTGCCCACTCGCCAAAGCAGCCTGTCTGCGGAGCCTGATGCCACGCCAGCAGAGCGGCCTCTGAGCCCCAGCAGCAGGGCAGCAGCTCAGTCCTAGCCCAGCTCAGACCCCAGGGACTCCACACAGCCCAGCAGGGGCAGCTCAGGACAGAGCCAAGCCCACATACCCTGACCCCCGGGCCCAGGGGCTCCCAGGCAGCTTTGAGGAGGAGGGAGGCCCACCAACACAGACTGTGGTGTGTGCTTCCTGGCGGCCCCAGTGCCTGTCTCAGGCCCTCACCCTGGGGGGTCCCAGGCAATCGGGCAGCCCCTCATGCACACAGAGGGGCAGGGACTGGGGGATCCAATAGGCCAGGTGGGACCAGGCCCCTCCCACCCAAACCTGAGCCCTGAGGCTGGAGCCCCCACTCTGACCACCCCCAGCTCCAGGGGAGGGATAGACAGTCCAGGGGCCTCCCAGTCTTTCCTCCTGGGTCCACCGAGGCCAACTGCATGCTCCAGGCCTTCCCCACACCCCTCCCCTGCACTGTCGGGTACTTCTCTGCTAGGGGCTGAGGGTGAAGGCAACAAACACACTTAGTCTGCCGGCGGGGACGCCTTCAGGCTCCAGGAGCAGCCCACCTCAGGTGCCAATCCACCACAGCCCTGGCCCTGCCCATCCCACATGGACCCCTGCACCACAGTCTGGGGTCACACCGGGCCTAGGCAGCTGGATGGCAGGCAGCAACATTGCCAAATGCCACCAGCCCAGGCATGTGGGTGGCTGGGCTGGGCCAGTGCAACCTCAGCCCCGTCTACAGACTCCACTGCTCACGGTGCTGTCTGCCGGGACAGCAGGGAGGACGCGGGCAGCGTGGGCTACATGCTGTCGCGGTGTGTACGGCGGGCGGCGGCCTTGGCTGAGGTGTTGGGCACGTGTGCACCCACCCCACCCCACAGCAACCTGGGAGTGGGCACACATCTAACCCAGGCACTGACGGGGCCAGAGGGCACCGCCACCACCCTCTTCCAGCCAAAGGTCATGCCCGGCCTCAGCGGCCGGAGTGACGCGGCCTCCTGGTGGGCAGTGGCTGGTCCCACCTGAGCTTTGCAGGTCGAGCCAGGACCAGAGCGCAGGTCCAGCTGAATCCCGCCCCCAGCCCTCCCGGTCCGCGGCTGGCCTGTTTCCAGGGCAACGCCCAGGGCGGGCGGGGCTCAGCAGCTAAAACTTCAATCACGGGTTTCCCCGGGTCCCTCGCCCTGAAGTGACCCCTCCTCTAGCAGGAAGCGCCCTGGGCGCCCACCCTCCCCCGCCTGCAGCCTGCCCTGACCACCAGAGGCTCCACAACGCCTCCTTCTATAAAACCAGCACCTCACCCCCCGGCCCCGTCCCAGACCCTCCCCGGCCGAGGGAGTCTGGGGCGACACTCCCCGCGCAGGAGAGAGGGGCCCTCACCAGCCACCCGCCCCGCTGGCCGGCACAGTGCCCTGCCCCCCACCAGGGAGCCTGCGGAGGGCCGGGCCCAGGGCCCAGCCTGCGCCCGCCCCACACACTCGCAGGGGACACCCCAGCCAGGCCGAAGCAGGCGCAGGCTCCCCAAAGTCCTCGAGTAGAGCCCGGTCAGGGCTGAGGACAGGCCTGGGCCCGCAGGAGCCTCGGCGCCCATGTGGTGGGGGCTCGGGGAGATGCGCAGAGCCAGAGGCCGCGGCGGTCTCCAGGTCTCAGGGCCCCCGGAGTGATGGGAAGCGCACACACTCGGAATTCCAGGAATGTCAGCTTGGCCCAGGCCGGGGTTTGGATGGCAGCCCCCTCCCCGCGCCCCGCGCTCCGAGTAAACAACTCCTGCAGGCAGGAACAGGGGCGGGACAGGCCCTGGACCCTCCTCCTGGAAGCCTCCAGGCCCCCACCCACACCCCAGGGCCCACCCCGCTGACATCCGGACCCCGCTGCCTCCCTCACCTCCGCAGCCACCAGCAGCCTCTGCAGCTGAGCCCGGCTCTGACCCCAGGCCACGGTTACTCACGGCCCCTGTCCTGCCCCTCTGCCCAGAGCAGGATGTGCGTCCACTCATCCTGGGGGGAGGGGGCGGGGAAGGGAAGTGGCCTCGGCTCGTGGCTCTGCACGTGGCTGGGTGGGGTATGGCAAATGCCACTGGGGAGGCTGCCCACGGCTCTGGCCAGGGTGGGAGCACAAACCCCAAGTGTGCAGTGGACATGGCCGGACCACTCTGGAACCAGGAGACCCTTCATCCCCCTTCCCTGCAGCTAAGGCCGACCCAGCGTCGCCCTGAGAAAACGGCAGAGGATGAACACAGGCCCACCCCAGCCAGAAGCCCCAGGCCGGCATGCCAGCCCACAGCCCCCTTGGGTGCCACTTCGCGGCGCACCGACGCCCACAGCCCACCTCGCCCCTCCGAGGAGCCTCCTTCGCCTCTCACCGCACACTGACCTCCTCACGTCCTCACCCACCGCAGGGGCACAGCCCCCCGCACGCCATCCGGGAGTCCCGGGCACCTCCTCTACCTAGGCCTCTGTGGCCCTGCGCTCCAGGGCAGAGCTGAGCGGGTCGTGCCAGTGCAGCCTGCGGGGTCTGCCCAGGGGCCCCCCGTGCCGGGGTCCTCAAGGTTCAGCAGCTCTTCCACGACCTCCCTCCGGGGCCCTCGCCCCGCGCTCAGAGGCGCGTCTGAGCGTCGGGGACCCGGGACGACGGGCAGCCCAGCAGAGCCGGGACCCGGGCGGGCCTCCCCCGACCCCCTTCCCGGGAAGTAGCGGGAGGAACGCGGACGGGGGGCAGGGGGCGGCCGGCGGGGGCCGTAACCGCGCGGCCGAGACCAGGGCGGCGCCCCTAAGGGCGGGCGGCGGCCGGAATGGGACCCCGGACACCCGGCGGGCAGAGGCCGAGGCGGAGGGACCCTGTACCCGGCGCGGCGGGAAGACCCCCGCGGCCCCCGCCCGCCCTCTCCCCGAGCCCCCGCGCGGGACCCCACTTGTTGCTGCGTGTCGGTCCGGGCTCGAACTCCCGCGCCCCGCTCGCGTGCAGGTCCAGAAGCTCCTGGTCGGACGCCTCGGGCCGCGGGACACCGACCGCGCGTTCCCCACCCCCAGGCGCGCTACCTGCGCCGCCGCCTCCCGCTCCCGCCGTCCGCTCCCGCCGCGCAGCTGTCAGTCAAGCGGACACGAGAAACGCGAACCGCCGCTGCGGCAGCCTTTTGGCCCCGATCAGACTCCGTCGCTCCGGGACGAACCAAGGCGGCGGGCGGGGGGGGGCGCCGTCTGCTGCTGCCGCGGCCGCGCGGACCCGACAGCCCCGGGACGCACGGGGAAAGCCCATCTCCGCGGAAGCCGCGGGCAACGACGCCAGGGCTGGTGGGGGAACGGCCGCGGCAGCGGAGAACGCGCGGAGCCGGTCCCCCCGCAACAGTGGACGCGCCCGGGGCGGGGCCTGGGGGGATCGTCCAGTGTCGCCGGGCCCCGCCGGGCAGTGTGGGACGCGCCGCCGCCATGATCATTCCCGTGCGTTGCTTCACCTGTGGCAAGATCGTCGGCAACAAGTGGGAGGCCTACCTGGGGCTCCTGCAGGCCGAATACACCGAGGGGTGAGGCGGGGGCTGGGGGCCGGGAGCCTGGGGCTGGGGC